TACATTAAAGCACTGCCTCATCATGATCATGAAAACCCTAAACCCTAGACCCTAAACCCTGAAAGCTAAACCCTAAACCCTAAACCCGGGACACTTGTGGGTGACAATCAGCTGTCCGTCAGGGCCAGTCTCCCCCGTGGGCGCCGGAATGTCCACAGGATCCGCCCGCGCAGCCTGCAGCCCGGTCTCGGTTTAGGGTTTAGGGTTCAGGGTTCAGGGTTGAGGGTTTAGGGTTTAGGGTGTAGGGTTCAGGGTTCAGGGTAGAAGGTTTAGGGTTTAGGGGTCATGAAGCGACGAAAGTTGCCACAGCAGAAGCGACGACGATCTTCCGGAACTAGGGTCTGCCTGTCAAGACAACTCAAGCCCCAACAAGTTTCGTCATCATGGCAGCCATACGGGCGACGGGGGATCGGCAAAGACAGCCAAAGTGAGAATAGTGACATGGAGTCACCCTAAGCCCTAACTGACCGACCTCTCGCATCTCCCTGCAACCTCTATTGGAGATCCTCCAAGAGCCAAGAGAACGAAATTCCCCACTGCTGAAATCTTCAGTCCCGTACGGAAGACATGGGGTTCTAAGGCCCCATGGACTGGATTCGGGAAAGGGTTTAGGGTTTAGGGTTTAGGGTTTAGGGTTTAGGGTTTAGGGTTTAGGGGTGATTATTCATGGTTTTGGCTTAAGGCCCAAAGGTTCGGTGCGTGTTTAAGGGCAAAATACAGCCAAGCTTAAACGCATGGATCATGCCATCATGGTCGCCAGACGAGTACTTGATTCTTATGCAAGTGACCCGAACATGCCTTGATAGGGGTTCGAGGAACACCACCCAAATGCCAGAAGAATAACCCTAAACCCTAAACCCTAAACCCAAAACCCTAAACCCTAAACCCTTTAAAAGAGAACATCCTGTACTAAAGGGGCCCCACCCCAAACCGTCCGTCCATGTCTGCCTCGTAGGTCGCACCAAACATGCTCCGTGCTTGCTCCGCCTCTGCATGCAGTCTTCGGTGTCTACTATATGGGTAGTTGTCAAAATTAGGGTCCCTTTTGGGGTACCCTAAATAATAGGTGCCGTATTATAATAAGGACCCCAAAAGGGACCATAACTTTGACAACCACCCATATGGCGTTTAGGGTTTAGGGTCTACACACCTAAGCTGCCACTAAGGAGTTCTTAATAACTCAATCTATAACTAATCCTACTACAGGTTTAACATACCAACAAAATCCCATTGTAGCCAACATATGGGGGTTTCCGAAAATGGGGGACCCCCTAATATAGTACCCTAAGTAGTAGGATCCTTATTATAAGGACCCCAAAATAAGGTACCCCTAATTTCCGGAAACTCCCATATACAATCAGACGACAATTTACCTCCAAGCCCTTTTGAAGCAATCGCCTCGGCCAACGCCAGCCCCAACCCTGCTGCAATCAACCAGGCCCCTTTGCTGAAACCCTGCGACACCTCTAAAAGCCTACCCTAAACCCTAAACCCTATAAGCCCTATAAACCCTTAAAGCTCTTCATCTCAGAAACCCTTATAGGGCTTGAGGGCTTAGGCCGCGGGTTTTTTTGGCCTTAGGCTGTGCGATGTAGGGTTTGAGGTTTCGGCCTCACTGCTTGACCCACCCAGAGAGCCCAAAAGCCCTCAACCAAGAGTTCCTCATCACCTAACTACAGGGCTTTAGGGTGCAGGGGTTGAGGGGTTTGGTGTTGAGGGGTTTAGGTGTTTGTCGTTGAGGGGTTTAGGGTTGAGGGGTTTAGGGTTGAGGGGTTTAAGGGTTTAGGGTTGAAGGGTCTATCTAAGGGTTGAGGGGATTAGAGCTGAGGGGCTTCTTGTTCTGGTCTGCAAATTGCTCCTCAAATTACAGAGGTCTGGGGTACTGGGCTCTGTGGAACTTAGCGGTTTAGGATGCAGGGTTTAGGGCATACGAGTAGGGTTTAGGGCATAGGGTTTAGGGGTCTACCTAAGACGAAACATTGCAGATCAGCTCCAGACCTACGGAAGAAAGGTAAATCTTATAGGGTTTAGGGTTTAACTCACCCCAACAATGCCTTGGTTGTTTAGGGGTGGGGGAGCAGTGGAAGGTGTTCAGCTTTTAACAATTTCGTTCAGAAAGTCATAAGCCTAAACAACATTGACATTCATAAACCCGAATTGAACTCTTCTAAGGCCACAAAAAGACCAAGCCCTGAACTCTTGAAGCACAAGCAGCTCGTGTTGAATAGCCCCACAAATCCCAAAACCCTTTTGCAACTGGCCTGCTGCGACTCCAATCCCAAAACCCTAAACCCGTAAACCCTAAACCCTAAACCCTGAACCCTAAACCCAAAATCCTAAACTTGAAAGGAGAGAAGGCCCCGGCCT